TACTCTTCTTTTTTGTGCGCGAGTTGGTTTGTGTGATGTCTGTACAGATTTTACCAACGTAACAAAAAGTAGATTATGTGAATAACAGTGATGGTAAAGCAAGCTTAAAACGGCAGAAATCACCAGAAACTTCAACGGATACACAGTTCGCGATTCAATCCGGTCCAAAATTACCGCTCAATAACATCTTTTAGTGTGGATTGGCGGCGAACAATACGACTTGTGTATGCGTCTGTAAGTATTTCGAGCGTTTGCGCTATAATGCTTCAGGTGATCGTAATCAGAACACGTTGAAATACAAAACGACCGACAAAAAAAAGCAAAAATCTCGTGTTCGTCATGTGACCCGGACCTGTCCGTGGATGACTACGTCAATCATTATCAAGATAACACGTGATCAGCATGTGGACACCTTCACCCTCATTGGATCACAGTTAGTTGTCATGGTGTTGAGGGCGCAATGACCACTGGGTACTATTGCGCAATTTTTCCATTTTGTGGCGGAGGAAAAAAAAAACTAGACCCTGTGAGCAGGGTAACTGGGATACCTGGATGGTATTATTGGATCCTTGGGATCAAATGTAGTGATATTACGGGTGTCGGAATTGTATACTGAAATAGTGAGCTCAAGTCTGGCCAAGGGCATACACCTATTTCAGAAAAGGTTGTCATCAGGTGATAAGTGACAGGTCATTTCAAGACGGAAAGGAATCATGGGTCTTTTACTAATTGATAACCTAATGGTTATTTTCTGGCCGACAGCCAATTGATAGGGTTTCTCAAAGAGCTGCTTTTCACAATTAGATATAGATGTATGATGCATATACTATTCTGTGATTATCATCAAGGATGTGACAATAAAAAGACAAAAGGTTTTTATGTACTATTGTTTGATTTTTTTCAGGGTAAAGTGTGTCATATTGGGAGTGATACTGGTTGAGCAATGTGCCATTGAAGTCATTTAAGAAGATGATATATGCATAGCAGTATGATGTTTTTGAATGGTAAGTAATATTAGTAGCTTTCAGAGCCGGTGTAATTTGGAAAGTACATTATGTAATTGCAAATTATATTGTCAGCGAAAATTATAGGTACTGTCTTGATTTTTATGGCAGCTGAAAGCTGGAGAGAAAAATAAATTAGTCCCAAGGACATCAGTAGAAGGAGAGGGGAGGGAGTGGGACAATGAAAATTATACCTGGTTAAGGTCATTGTTTTGATGAATTGTGTTCCCCCTTGAACTGGGGTCCAGTTTTTAAGTTAAGTCACTTTGATTGATTATCTGGTCAATTGTGGAAATATAGCTACAAAATGATGCTTACTCAAGAAACTTAAATAGCGGGACCATAAACTGATAGGTGACTTGCATAATTCTACAATATGCGTTGATCACACAAAGAATCATTTATTTTCAAATTGTGGTTGAATAGAGCAGGCAAGAGGGTCAGGGATTTTAAAGGTTTTAATTGATGATTAATGAATTTCTTATGTAAGTTAATTAAACCCTTTACACCTTAACATCTGTATGCATACTGTCCATATAGTTATTTTTACATTTTTTAACCCTTTACACCCTAACATGAATATGCATATTCTCCATACATTCTCTATACACTTGTTAAGGTTCTGGAAAGGAGAATTTGTTTAACAATCTTGAGGTTCTTTAGTTGTTGATAATTTCCCTTATTCTCATGGTGTTAATGTTATATTCAGGGGTGGTCTTGTAAGGAGCAATTAGATACCAGTCACTGTTACAGGTTAAAGGGTAAGGTGTTGAATAGGAGAATTTCACTAATAATCAAAAGCTTGTTGAATTTGTGATCATTTCCTTTATTCTTGTGATTAAACGTTTGATTCAAGTGTGATAGTGTTAGAAGAAATTAGATGGTTATTAGTGTTATGGGTATAAGGGTTAAGTCAGTTTGTTTGTAGTGAACGGTTTATCCAGTGAGACACTTTTTCTTTTTGTTTTAGGGATAGTGAAGAATGTTGATTGAGCACAGGTTAGAAGTATCAGTTCAAGCCTCCTGATATTTTCTAGACAACATGAAAATAATGGATGAGAGGATTTGTAATATCTCAGGGTTAAATATTTATGAACTTGTATGATGTGAAGGTGTACTGGAAGTAAACATGTACAGGATATTAAAAACACGTTAAAAGTAATTGGAAGTGACTTGACAGTAATTAATGGTCACATCAAGACAGCTTTTTTAGTGACATGAAAATGGATGATAATTAAGTTAAAACTATTCAAAGATCATGACATTGACCTGATGTGAAAAAAAAGAAATCACTTTTTGTCCAAGATATGCATGAGGTAAGAGTTGATATGAATATGAAAAATTAATTAAAAGAGTCACCAATTATTTTAAGATGACTATGTTTTAATTAATGACGCATATAATGATAAAGTCAAACAGTAAGGGAATATTAGTTTTTGCAACAGTGTTAATAATTTCGATATACTATTGATAAAGATTACTAAGAGTACTTGGCAACAGTATGATACTGTGAATAGATGTATGTTTGATTGTTTTAAACGTTATTAAACTTTTGATGGTAATGAAGTGATTTTATTTGAATTACAATATAATTTAGTACAACATGCATGGAACTATAAAAAACGGTGTTAATACGTTTTAGTTGAAGTTGTCTATTAGATTGACTGGAGTTTAAAGTTTCACAGATGAAATAATAATACTGCAAAAATTTGTTCATAAAGATGTTCAAAAAGAATTGTGTTATTTCGTTCGACGCCAGGAACGCTTTTGTGTGAAAGGAATCCGATTTCAGAGGTTGAAGTTCATGTTCGACTTGGTAACTAGTCGTATCCATTTCAAGGAGTCCCGTAAGTTCACTAGCTTTGGTTTGTAATTATCCGATCGACCCAAATGAGCTAGTACAGATTAGAATTGTGAGCCACGCCATCATTCAGTTGTTGTAAAATGCTTTCAAAGGTGAGAGAAAGGAGAGGGCACTTTGGAACCTTTTTGCTAATTGTGTGTTGCTGGCATTTCAGAACCCTTACGCCATTATAGTATATTTTGTGGCCAAACCCAGCAGTGTTGGGCAATTGTCATTGTCGCAATGTCCAGTTAGTCGATTTCTTTATATGCCGTTAGACAAAGTCTATTGAAAATGCATGTCCACTATGTGATAAAGTTTTGAAAATAAAGTTCCATTCAGCGGCATGTCGTGAGTACCATATTACGAAGAACTACTCGTCCCGCCCGGTATTGAATTGTGTTGCGGGTGGGCAAAATAATGCATTTTTAAAGGAGAACTGAAGTCCAAATTCATGTAATTTTTTTCACCGTGTATCGTACATTTATGTATGATGGAACAAATTTCCGTCATTTTTTTTCCCTCGAACGACAGTTTTCATCCAGAAAACGAAGGGTTTTTAGTGATAATTGGCTCGACATTTGACTGTGGTACGTCGGCTCAGAACACGAATGTCAGCGGTTCTTTTTGTAGTGTGTGACGTAGGTTATGGGGATGAAGGTAAACACAGCAAGAAACAGGCAAGTTGAATTCAGGACTGTGGCTTGCTCGCGGGAAAGAATTTGTGGTTTTCAGGAGTAAAGATTGTGCAAGGTGAAGCAAAAAAATGATTCAAGCGCCTCTCATATAAGAAAATTGGTCTTCTGTCCAGGGATTGTATAAGAGAAAAATATTTTGGCTTTCGTAACCCTGTGTCTCTGAAACGTAGTTACGTGTCCAGATCATGTGCGGCGCATCTTTTATACTTGGATTGACCTCGATGTTTTCGGAATAGGGTCTCCACTTTAATTTTTCTTACATACTGGTAATTTAAGATATTTCATCTTCCATTCTGTTTCCCATATTTTGTTATTTACCTTTTTTAACATTAGTTTGCAACGCGTTTGTAGTCTGGATTTTGCAATGGCATGTACGATAACGCAAGCTGTTAACAATGTCGCAAGAAGTCCAAAACGAAATAAAATTTTGAAATTCGTGTTGAACTTTGGTTTATAAGTTCTCTATAATGGGTTAAATTCTTGGCTTACGCAAGAAAGGATGTACAAATACGGAAGCCCGAGTTGTTTGAGTTTATTCTTCTATCTGTTCTTGGCGGTTGAGTAGCCCTCGTTGCTATATTTACTTCGATTACTTTCGAGCTAAAAAATGGTATACTGCGCGGCGTTCGATTGTAACAACGACTCGAGGTACACAACTGGTATATCCTACCAGTGCTTTCCGAGGGATGAAGCTCTACGATCACAGTGGCTGGCAAAGATCTCACGAGCGGATCTGGTCGTTTCGAAAAACTCCAAGCTGTGCTCAGAACATTTTACACCTGACTGCTACGAACGAGACTTGAAAGCAGAAATTCTTGGTTTGAAACCCAGATCTACGCTAAAACCAGGTGCAATACCCACGGTTTTTTCGCATCGGAGACCATCAAAAAGACCTCGACTTTCATCGGAGAAACGTTCAGAAGAGAAAGTCAGAAAAGAAGCAAGTGAATCGCGAATTACTCTCTTGTAACTGGGTTGGGTTGTTGCAAAGCTTGGGTTGTTGCAAACTCTTGAAGCTGCTCATCATTTATGCATGATTGATACAAAAAAAAAATTGAAAGGTGAATGCAGTTTGAGGGCAATAACAATTTATATCTTAAGGGATATCACCCAAATAGGTTCCATTGAGAAACATTAAATTTTCACAGAAAAGTATTTCTTCTCCTTAAGCAAAACAATATCCTGCCATGGAATTCCTTCTAGTTTCATGTTTTTTTTTTCTGAGTCATCTTTGTACTTCATCTCTCCTGAAAATTTTTGACCAGTAGGTAAACAAAATTAAATTGTTTCAGAATTAAGTGATTATTCTTTAATTCTAGGAACATTATACCTGTCCCTTGTTAACTAGCAGGTGAACAAAATTAGTACAAATAGACTATATGTAAGTTGTGGATATTATTCTTTAAATAATGAATTCTTTTAACCTTCTTTACCTCTATGTGAATAAGAACTTAAAGAAATTTCCCTGAAGTTGATCATCAATTTGATGTGTGGCACCTTTCCAAGAGTATAACTAAAAAGTTAACTGAAAAAGCAAAGAAGAGAGAATGTGCTGATCTCTCTCTCTGGATCAGATCCATCTCAAACCACCTTTGGTGGTGTGCCAAAACATATGGGGGAGACAAGGAGATGTTGAGAGAGAAGTGGATATCCATTGTCTATCACACTGCCAATATCCACTCCTGGGATTTAGCTGACCTGTATGAGGAATGTGCCCACCAACCAATCCCTCCAGCTATCGCAAGAACTAAAAGGTGGCTTAGGCCTGGCTCCTCTGCTCATAATGCATTGAAGGAGGTTGTATTCGATAAAAATCTGTTGAAGGACATTCAGCAACTAACACTAAGTTGTCATACTGGCAATTTAGAGGTGTACCATAGTGTGCAGACCAAATATGCACCCAAACGGCAGCACTTCTCTTATAATGGCATGGTTGCTCGAACTCAGTTGGCAGCCCTAGACCATAATGCCAACACTGGTAGACAACAAGCCACTGTATCCAGGGGTGCCAACCAAGGGGAGCTGCAATACAAGGTAGTGTTTCCAAAAAATACAAAAGAATGGGTGGCGAAGCTCATATTTGAGAAGACAACCAATTATCATCTCAAGCCAATGCTTAATGCCATTGTAGAGAGAAAATGCTTAAAACCACAAGAGAGGAGTGCAACAGTCACAGCACCACACATTCCTGAAAACATTGCCAGCAAACCCCGGCCTCCTAAAGCAGATGTCATTGCTAATCATACTTTTGAAGTATTTTTGAATAATTAAATACAACAACTTTGTCAATAACACAATCAAATGAAAATAAAAGCAATCATCGTAGCAAAAAGCAATCAAAGGTAGGTTTGAGGTTTATTTCATTCAGGCCACGCAGCTATCCCTGGCAATGTGGACAATTTAATAACTGCAGTAGGGATGACATTCGTTTGGCTCTGCATGGCTTTTGACTGAATCACTATGCAGAAATGTGTTAGTAATTCATATCCTCGATAAGTAATTGTATATTTCACGCAAATTTTAGAAAGAAACCGTAACATAAGGAAAGAAGAGCCTCTGGTGTTATACACGGAAAGGATATGTTACTAATCATTTTTAAAGGACATTACGGATAAAGTTCAAAGTTCCAGATCTGCTTCTCGAAACCCCACGTAATTACCACTCTCTTCTGGAAATGTTTTACGTATGGCCGTGACGACGCATGCTGGCACGATTCTCCGCCGGTTTTTTCCTAATACCCCATGTGCCCACCAAGTAAATTGTCTGTAGGCTGCCAAACGCCAAGTTCTAGAGAACAAGAGGATATAAAGTCACAAAAGCGATTGACTTAATTACGCGTACAAAATAAGAAAGAAAAAGACAGTTTACCTGTTGACGATAGGGTCGGGAATTGGATTGAGCCGCGCATTGTGGATTGCAACCAATGCCGTGCTCAAAACATCCGTGTCCAGGCATACAATACCAAATTTCGGATGTTCTGTTATACATCTAACACCTATCAAGAAGAAAAAAGTCTTAACATTTTATTTCCCTCACTGTTTCAATAATTTTCATCCATCAGACCATGTAATTGCAATTACAACTAAGATCGAGTTTGCAATTGTCCACCTTTTGTCACTCTTAGCAAAGAAGCGGTCGCTTCAAACAAAATACTCGTGAGAATAATCACATAATAAGTACAAACCTGAATTGTCGAACTTTTGATTAAGCTCCTCTAGTTCTTGGCAGCAGTAACATTCATTTGCCACCGGCATAAGCGCACAAGCGCCGCACAAACACCATTCGGTGTTTCCCATCCTCGAAGTATTGCCTTCTTCGTGGGCTTCTACCTCCTGTCCTACACTCTCTTCCTGAGGTGGTTCTTCTCCAGGCTGATAAACTGGTTCGAACTGAAATGGTTCTATTCCGCTCATAACGAAGGGTCGACGAAGACGCAATTTGTATTAAAACTTAGCTGAACGATAACACGTTCTAATGTGATCCCCATAACATACGTCACAGGCTCATTTGGAAGACCGCTGATTTAAAATTGGTGCCCACGGTTTGAAAGCCGAAACAGCGCGAAAATACAAACTTTAAAGAAATATTTCTCCAAGGTAAGACACATTTAGCACAAATAACGCTTGAAATCGAGAATTTCGTCACTTTGGCTATCGAAAGAAATTAACTCAATTTTTGGCTTCAGTTCTCCTTTAAACTAGATCGAGCGCAGTTAATTAATGCATGATTGTTAGTAGTTGTTTAGAGCAAAAGACCAAATCTTTAATTTGAAAAAAATCGAATGAAGATGTCACACATCTACATATCATATAACTTTTTACATTGTAAGGTCAGTATGCATATTCTCCATACTGTTGTCAGTAGTAGAATTTGTCTAACAATCAAGAGTTACGTTAGTTGGTGATGATTTCTTTTATTCTCGTAACCTTTATGTGTGATTCAAGGGTGATATTGTAAGGAGCAATTACACGATAGTCAGTCTTAGGGGTTAAAGGGTTGAAGTGGTCTTCTTGGTCCGTGCGTAACAACCTTATTGATGATAGTTAGGCCATAAACCTGAAAAAAAGAAACCAGGTTCTGTAACTTACAGAAGAGGACAGAAAAATATTTTAAAAGAAATTTGTAACATGTCTGGTATCAAATTAAAGAAAAAGGTCTCCAGTCAAACAAAGTTACTGTAAAATACGATATGTCAAATAGACCAATTATAACGCACGCATTGTACAGGAGTTGTATTGAGGCGTGAGAGATAAAAGACAACTGATTGAAATTTTAGATAAGTCAGAAAAAAAAAATTATATTTTTCATGATTATTGGTAGGTTACAGAAAAGGTGAATGTTTTTTGTAGGGTTTTCAAGTCGAACAGAGACAAATGCGAGGCGAGCGCGCAGTGCGAGTCACGTGCGAGGAGAGAAGCGTAAAACAGTGTAATGCACCTTCCTCGCGTGTGATTTGCGGTTTAAGGTTGCCCTGCTGTTCCGTGTGCAACTGACAAAGGCGAAAAAAGGCTACGCTTGTTGTGAAGGCCATGTGGGTGAATACAGTTTTCCAAGAAAAATAAATGGTTGAATGAGGCAAGCTTGCGCGTGTCACTTTTTGGCCATCGGTGCGCCAATTTTCAGAACAAATTTTTATAAGAAGTGATACGAATAAGACCTATGTCACGTAAAAGTTATGAAAAGAAATTAAATGGTCCATAGAAATGTTTAAAAGGAAACAAAAGAAATAAACGATAGACATAAAAAAATTAGCCAATAGCCTGTTAAACCCTACCTGCGCAATCACGTAAAAAAATTATAGCAAAAGCAGATCATGGTCTTCTGTAATAGTAAGAGGTTGGACGGGTTAATACGATTGGGTGCGGAAAAAGCTCTCCCGTCTCGGGGTCTAATTCCTGAAGGTCCCAGTAACCTAACAGGCTGGCAAAGTTGTTGTAGTTATATTTAAAACGGACTTTACAAAAGTTTTGGAAAGTGTACAGCAAAACTATTAGCTACAGAAACAAAATGGACTGGTTAGGGTGCAATAAACTGCTTTTGTGTTCTTGTAATTGTGATTTTATAAAATATGGTCACTTCGACGTGTTAAGTTACAGGAAGTTTCCAAAAAAGGCCCCTGTATTTGCACGGATCTTTTTTCATTTTCCCAGTATGTAAATTGGAATTGTGGACTGGTATTTAAAATGAAAGAAGATTAGACAACTCGTGTTTGTTGATGAATTACGATTTTCTTGTTGTAACTCGAAGAAAAAAAACAGAGAAAAACTCTGTTTAATTTTTTCCAGTAGTTGTCTGGTGCACGCCTGTTGTATAAGAGGAGGTTCAATTTCAGTTGAAACGAAATTTCAACACCAAGTGGCCATTTGATGAAACGCTCATAAACTGACTTTCGTCGGGTCGGTTTGGAAGATGTCTGGGTCGAGGTCATGACTAGTGGACCGCGGGAACTGCACACTGATATGTGTTTAAAATTCTTTCAATGCTTTTCCCGTTCCTCTTGTATTATTTTTCCAAAAGTTTTATGGTTAGTTTTTTACGAATCAAACAATGTCTCCTGATCTGTTCACTCGGAAAGTAATTTTACAATGGGCATATTTCACACGAGTAGAATAACAAAAATTAATACCAGTCGCGTTGGATAGGGAAGTCTTCCGATTATATTGCAAAAGTGTTTCTGAGTACAATTAGATGGAAACTTGTAACAAAGTAGAATTCACTGTTTGATTAAATAAAACGATTTACGAAATATTGTGCTATTTTAACTCGTGAATTGCGCGCATGCTCGCTCGCTCCCTCGATTGGTCGATTCCTGTAAACTTTTTTTCGAATTTTGGCGAGCAATAAACAAACGAAATGGCGACCTTTGTTGGTAAGAATAGTGGTGGGGTGAAAAAGAAGCCAAAACGATAGTAATTTTTTTTCGTTTTAGTTTCAACAAGCGGCGCCAGCGACTGGCAGGCATGCAAGGATTCACACTGAAATAACAGAACAACCTTCGTTTTTCATAAAATTGTAATTTACAATCCTTGGACTTGAAAACAATCCGAAGATTTATTGAAAATATCACTTACTGCGAAGCGGTCGGAGTTTACAGATGTTCAAAAGCTTTTTCGGTTATGGGGTGAGGTTGAGGACAAAATCGATCATTACGTTTCGTAAAGTGTGTTTTTCCGGTGTGAAGCAACATGAGATGCCGGCGACTGACGAAATTACAAGTTATCTCGAAAATCAAATAACACCTAAACAAACAATTTTAGCTACCGATTTTCAGTGAATTTTTAAAAGAACAATTTTCTTTTAAGTGTCATGACAATTTGAAGATTCAAAATAAATATTACGTTCAAAAATGCGAAAGTTGTACACCAAAAAATTGATAAATAGGCCTGAAATGAAGTTCTATCTTGTTCTTGATTATACGTTGCCTAGCACGTGACTAAAATCTACCCAGGCGGAGATCGAAAATGACGGTGGCAGTCGTGGCTTAATTATATCACTCAAAACTCGTTGCCGTTTGTCTCATTTGCTAAAGAGAGAATCGTTAATGTTTTCATTAAGACAGTATTGCCTTGGTTTTCTAATATTTACAATGATAGACAGTTAATTTCACTTTTCACCCACATTTACTTCCAACCTTTTCTTTTGAACCAGAAACAGAATTGATATACGTTTAAAACACATGACATCGTCCACCCTTGTCAAATGTAATAACATGATCATTTCAATTGTAATGCCTTCTTATCCCAACGTTACTTTGTTTTTTTTGCTGCGAACACTGAACTACTGCTCGTACTCTAGATATGACAATCAACGACAAAATTCCCTAAACCAGATACCAATAAAACATAGTCCAAAAAATCATGTGTCAATTTACGAGTTTGCACACAGAGCACTTTTATCTTTTATTTTAATCAGCCCTCGTCAATTATTGAGCTGAAGACAACCAATAGAAATCATTTTTATTTTTAATGTCAATTAATATATGTATTGACCAATGAATAAGAAGGAAAGAATGGGTCAACTTCATCTGATTGGTGCAAAAACATTATAAATGCTGTACCCAGAAACGTGTATGCTCCGCCTTCACCCATATTCTTTTGGACCATTGACCGGAGTATATTGGTGGAAAAAGTGATTAGCGAGAATGGGTAAGCTATGATAACTTAGACACAATTTATCGTAAGTACAAATAATTTTGTGAATAACGAAGCTAGATGTTCCTACTACAAAATTAATGCCTAATAACGTATCTTTTGGTGAAAAGGAGAAGGTGA